GGGGGGGGGCGGGAACCAAGCAGACAAAACACCAAACTACCTCACTCTCTTTTCATCGCCTCCGCCAAGTATGCCCTCTAATCTGACAGTTGGTACTGGGACCAGTGACTGTTTTAGAGGTTCCAGAATATGTCCCCAAAGAGTGACCTTCCCTACTCCCTCCCTTCAGGTTCTATACATTGTGCGTTATTTTTCCATAGAACATAAAATCAATAGTTTTTTCTCATGCACGAGATGTTTTGATATGCACGTTACGTGGTCGCCACCCCGAAAACGCAGGGTGAGAGCCTGGGCGCAGCATCACGCAGGCCGCGGTCCCTTGCCCCAGTCGCCGGACACCGCAGCTTCCGGCGGAAACGAGGAATAATTCAGGTCGGGAGCGCCACCGTGTGGGAATAGTGGGCACTGCAGCGTCCGCGCGACTCGTGTGAATTTTCAGAACCCCAGGGAACTGGCTTGACAGTTGCCTGTCAGGTTTTTTTCTTTCTTTTTTCTTTCTTTTTTTTTTTTTTTTTTTTCTCTCTCTCTCTTTAATCTTGGCGCTCTGTGACAGCTCAGAGAGTCTGAGCTCGAAATTAAGCCTCAGGGCCTGTCTCGCTCGCTTATGAATCCCCGGGCTGGGACCGGTACCCAGCTCCCGACAGGCTGCAGAAGCGCTACTCAGTGCCGCATGCGCAGCCTGGTCCAGGCGTCCCCAGGGCTGCGCCCCAAAACCAGGAGGAACGTGGCTGGCCAGCCCTCCCTGAGCAGGACCGAGCGTGCAGCAAAGGCCCAGGTGCAGCGCGCACACCCCGCAGCTCGCTCTTTCCCCCACATTCATGACTGTGCTCTGGAACTGCTGCCTTGCACACGCATACCGCAGCCCGCCCCACCCCAGGCCACCTGGGTTTCCGAGAAGCCGGCGGTGCCCGCCTCTAACGGCTGCCAGTCTCCATTTTTAGATCACTGACCTAAATTCCAGCAACCACAAAACCTTCGCTTCCACATCATAACTTCCAGGGCCCCACACACCCCATGTCCCCAACTGCTGGCGATACAGACTGCTGAGGGACAGACAGACTGCCCAGGGACAGACGGGCTGCTCTAGGAACAGACATACTGCCCAAGGACAGACGGACTGGCTGAGGGACAGATGGACCACCTGAGGGACACACAGACTGCCCAGGGCCAGATGGACCATCCAAGGGACAGACACACTGATAGACTGCCCAGGGACAGACACACTACCTGAGAGACAGACAGACTGCGCAAGAACAGAAAGACCACCTGAGGGACAGATGGACTGATGGACTGCCCAGGGATGGACAGACCGCCCAAGGGACACACAGACTGCCCAGGGACAGACTGATGGACTACCCAGGGACAGATGGACCACCTGAAGGACACATAGACTTCCCAGGGACAGACAGACTGCCCTCTGGGGCTCTGCCCAGGTATCCTCCTGCTAAACCTCCCTGTTCTGAGTCATAAATAATCGTCCCTACTTCCCTGGCTTCACAGCTGAGCAAGAAAACGCTTTCCTTGAGCCACCCTAAAAGATGGCTCCAGTCACTTGGGGTCACCTGGCCCCTGCTGCCACTGGAGGAGAGGAAGCTGTGTCTTCCTGGGCAGAGCTGGTAGAACAAGCCCGGTGTCCAGGTCAATGTCTCGCGTGCACTTGGAAGGGCCACGTCTCCTATTTTACCCTAAAACCCCACCACGATTATAGTTCAGACTCAGCTGCACCCCAGGGCCCCGGGGATACTCGGAGCCCCCACCCCCTAGCAGATCCCCAAGACCCCACAATAGCAAAACCTGTGTGTACTGGGTTTCCCCTGGACACTGCTATCTGTGCTAGATCTTCATTTATAAATTAGGCATGGCAAGAGACTCTTAACAGCAATGGACAGTAAGGTACAGCGGCTCTGATAGTGGACCACAATAAGACGTGAGCCAGGTAAGTGACACAGGCCTGTGGGCCTGGTGCTCTGGGGAGCTGAGGCAGGCAGAGCCCAAGTGTGCGTCCTGCCCGGAAGCTGAGCAATCCAGCAGGACCCTGTGTGAGAGTAAGAAGGGGCTGTGGGTGGAGCACTCTGTAGAGGCCTTGGTTCAGCCCCAAATGCTGGAAAACAAAAGCTCTGTGAGTGGCCCTGCAAGCCTCACGGTGCAGAAGGACCACACCTGCCCTTCTGGGTAGCAGCAGAGAGGCAGAGTCCACGTGTGGAGACTGAGCCAGGCGGGTGGTACGGGGACGGGTGAGCTGCTCTGTAGGGGCCACCGGGACACGGGTGTAGCATGTGATGCGTACGATGGCCAGCGGACGGCAGAGACAGGGCTGCGGATCAGAGCTGCTTGAAGTTGGGAATCACTGGATACCGCGTGGCAATAAAGCAGACATTTGTGGTCCCAGCTCTCGGTCACGTGTACCCAGCAGCTCCAAGGAGGCCTGCTGTAGGGACGCCCATGTGCGCACGCAAGGACATGTGCATGTATGCACGGACACACGGCTCATCTGCTCTTCCCCGCAGCAGGCACTGTCTCCTACTCATGACCAACGAGAGATGTCCAGCGGCCACCACATGCAGTCACGCTGCAGCCATGACAAGTGCCGTGGGGACCGCATTTCCATTTCATACACGAGTGCACTGCACTCTGGGAACTCCTCCAGAAGTGAGCTGTACTTTGGGGTTTTGCAAGGGAAAACAGTACAGCATGGGACACTTAATTGTAAGAATATTTTATAGAAGTCACCCAAAGAGATGCAAAAAATACAAACTTATCCAGGGGATTACAAATCTAAACTTCCCAGACCAAGATGAAGACCAAAAAGGGCCCTCTGTACTCCGGGACACTGGCCCGTGCACCCTCTTCCCCTCTGGAGCCAGGAAGCGATGCCCCAAGAGCAGACCAGAGCTCGCCCAAAGTGAACCCTAGCCCTTCTCAGCAACAGCGAGGTCCAAAGCTCCGTCAGTGCTGAGCACAGCCGAGTTCATCAGGAAAGCCAGCATGACAAGGTCCTTCAAGAGACCCTACAGCTCCCGAAAGCCTCCCGACAGCCGCCCAGCCTCTCCAGCTCCGCCCCTCGTGCTGCTAGCGGCAACCCTCAGGTGGCCTCGCATGGCCAAGCCGCCCTGCTTCAGTTCAGCTGGGTGTTACAGGTTGACCCCCAGCTGTCGGCCCCCCACACCAGCCTACAGCTACACGGATGTACACACGTGACTACCTCAGAGCCGCGTAGTGATTTAGGGGAGATTTTGGGGGCAACTCCAGCCCAAATGTCATGCTACTCCGCGTAGTGTTTCAGGGTCCGCCTGGTTTGGACCCTAACCCTTGATGTGAGGCCTTCAAGTCCTGCACGCAGTGAAAAGTCTCCGAGGCTTCTTAGCCAGCTGCCCCCGCACAGACACGAAGGTCCCCCAGGTGCACCCTGGACCTGAGGCATGGGCCAGCCACTGGCTGAGAAATTCAGAGGAAGTCAGGGACAGTGAGGAACTCAAGCTATTCCTGGTGGACAGTTGAACTTTCAGGATGGAATCAGGATTCGTTCATTTCGCCTACGTGGAATAGAAGCTGGCTGACCACATAGTCATGAGGAAGAACCCTACATGGCCTGCTCTGATGAAGCGGTGCTGGCTCCTCACACATGCGTGGGCTCCCCTCACGTGGGCCTTTCTCTCTGAAGGAGACGCCAACCTTACCACAGTCCCGTTTGTCTTATTTGCTTGCTTTCCAGTGGTTTTGTAGCATCTCATAAATAAAACTTAGTTCAGCTTTATCTGAATTCAACTGAGTCCCAGCGAAGGCAATGGCACGGCTGCTCGGAAGTCAGGATCTGCTGCTCCTTTAACCTCAGGGTTAGCACTTGACCTTTGCTCGAGCGTCTTGCCAGCCGAGATGGACTTGTGTGCGCAGGAGCCTCCGTGGGAGCACGGCCACGGCCACCGGGCATGCGCGCAGGCCGCCTCGCGGTCCTGATCCTCGAGCGATGCCCGCAGGAGCAGCAGGGCCCACAAGGGACAGGAGTGAGTCCTCTGGGCTGCAGGGGAAGGCCGGTGGTGGGGTGCTCACCTGACAGTGCCAGGCCCTGGCATGGTGGGGGCTCCCAGCCCGGCGCAGCCTTAGCACAACCAGAAGCACCTTGTTCCTTTTCGATGTCAACTTGGCATCCCCTGTCCCCCCTGTATTTTTTGAAACAGGATCTGTGTGCAGTTCAGGCTGGCCTTGAACTCACTTTGTAGCCAAGATTGGCCTTGAACTTGGGGGATCGGCTTGCCTCAGCCACCCCAGTGCTGGGATTACAGGTGTGCGCCACACCTGACTCTTTTCCTTGAAAAAATAAGATAAATTCCTTCCTGCTTAGCTTCCTTCACTCAAGAAGGGATTTTCCACCGTGCTCAAGCGACTCTGCCATGCAGGTGTGTGAGCCAAGGCTCTGTCCCTTTGGCCCAGCCCTGAGCACGCAGCCCAGAGACCTGCAGGAATCACTAGGCTCGGAGCTGCTGTCACAGCGCTGTCACAGCGCTCCTCTCGGGAGCAGGGAGGGAGGGAGAGGAGAGCACGTGAGGCGCCGCGGGAGTCTCCTGGGTGGCGAGGCTGCGGGCTGTGAGCCGCTCGCTCGCTCGCGCTTCGCTCCTTCACCATTCGCAGCCGCGAGTGCCATCAGGCGCCGCGCCAGGTTCTGGGTGCTCGCGCGGTAACAAGATGCTGGCCTGGCCGCAAGACAGGAGCCAAACCCACCGGTCCTGCGCCGGGAGCAGGTCGCTGGCCGGGAGGGGCTCCCAGCCGACGTGGCCTCGAGCGAGGCGGGCACAGACGGGAGAAAAGAGCGTGGCGCCGCCCGGAACGCAGCCGGAAATGCGGGGGCGGGGGCGACGAGGCGAACCGCCGGGAAAACATCGCGTGGGGTCGGGCCCTCACTTTTATTTTTTTCTGTAAAGAACTACAAAATAAATATTTTAGGCTTTGAGGGCCAACAAGCAAAACTGACGATATTATATATATGTATTTACATGTCAAAGGGGAAAGGTGGGCTATTGTTTTGTTAAATTTATAGCACAGTGATGATTGGGGCCCCGCATAGTGGCATGCCTGTTATCCCAGCACGTGGGAGGCTGAGGCAGGAGGATCCTTGAGAGTTGGAGTCCAGCCTGGGCTACATGGTGAGCTCAAGGCCACCTGAGCTGCCTAGCAAGACCCTGTCTCAAAAAGACAAAAAAAAAAAAAAAAGATTGAAGATAATTGTTATACTACAAATACAGTAATGAGAAGACCGGACTATTGGGAGAAGAAAATGTTTTGCTTAGTGTGCCCTATTACACAAAAGTTATTGTAGGTGTTTTTTCTGCTAACACAGATATTCAATGAGATTTCATCTGCCGGATCTCTTTTACATGGACGGGTGCTGCCGGCACTGGCACCCGGCCACAGCCCCGGAACCTTACCTGTCCATGGCTTAGCAGCCATCTGTGGGACTCTGCTAAGAGTCTCTCTTGATGTCTGCCTGTCAGCGCGCATTACACTGCAGATTATCGCTGCAATAGAAGGCGACAGGGAAGCTGCCCAACTGCCTACCCAAGTGGATTTTCAAATATACAAGTTTCCCTCCCACCACATCGCAGTGCAAAACACAGCGGTCGACCTGCTGTTCGAACTCAGAAAGTGGAGCCACTATAAGCGAGGGTGGGGCAGGGATGTCGCTCCCACGTGAGCAGTGCCAAAGGAGCTTGGCGTTGCTTGGGAGTGAATCCACTTACAACTTTTGTGTTCGGGAAGGAGCCGTGCCGTGGTGAGACGCTCCACTGAAATGTCATGCCCTTCTGATGTGGCTCTCTTGTACCTTGGGAGCTGGCCTGCTTAGTTTGGTGCTGTGTTGCTTGTCTAACTGCCTGCATCACGTATTAAACTCGGGGCTGTCATTTAAGTTTGCCAACACAACAGTCCACATGCCCTTGTACCTCAGAGTGCAGGGCTCCATTTGGGGGATTTGTTGGCTGGTGTGCCGCCGGCATTGAGTCCCCAGCTTTGCATGTGAGGAGGTGCCAGAGCTGCAGCCCCGCGTTGAGACGTTCCTGCCATTCTTGGCTTGTGGGCCATGCAGGCAGGTTTGCAGTTCCGAAGCGCCGCCTCGTGTGAGTGCAGAAGGCTTCTCCCCAGAACGCCTCAAGCCCCGAGGCCTGCCTGGCCTGGTCTAAGCTGCCGCATCTCTCTGCAGGACGGCACCCGCGTCGTGGGGAAATGTGGCGGTTACTGCGGGAAGTGCACGCCGTCCTCGGGCACTGGCCTGGAGGTGCGGGTCGTATAGCGCAGGTAGGTGTGCCTCCCCACCCGTCCGTCCGTCCGTCTGTCTGTCTGTGCCTGCTCTCCTCTGTCCAGGAGCTTCGCAGCCAGTGCACACACTGGGGCACGTGCTCCCAGCCAACCTGCTGCTCTCGTGTCTTTCTCTCTGCTCCTCTGTCCCCTCGTGACCGTGACCGAGGCCATCTGTCCTTGCCCTGGGGCACCAGGCCCAGGCCTCCTGCATCTGATTCTCATCTCTACGCCTGTGTTGAGGGCTTCCTACTGGCTGGGTTTGCAGGAGTCCTGCACTATCTGGCCTCAGTGGGTCAGCAGTCTGCGTCCTTCTGCAGGACATCCTAGGGCGGGAGGCGCCGGGCCATCTGTGGGTCATCTTTTAAGAAATACCATGCAGGGCCACTAGCAGCAACCAGAGCAGCAGCATCTGTTGAGCCCAAGCCACACACCAACGTGCACGTGATGTTTTACTGAACCCTGCCTCAAAACATGGAGCCAGGCTGTTTTATTTACATCAGACTGCTTCCTAAGGGCGCAGGGCGTTCCCTGCAGTGTTCACACCAGAGCCCCTGTTCGTGGTGTCTGCCCAGTGCCATGGCTTTGCACCTGTGGTCAGTTCAGGGACCTGCAGCGTCTGCAGCCCCCGGGGCTTGTTGGGATTGCAGATTGCCAGGCCCGACCTCGGCGGTGAAATCACAGCCTGCATTTTAACATAGTGCCGGAGAGAATCACGCGTTGAATTTGGAGAAGCAAGCAGAAGCGCCCCCTGCTGGGCAGCAGGCTGCATCAGGCTTCAGCGGAGGCACAGGCTCAGTAGTGGCAGTGACCCTGTCTTTCCTGGAGCCTGCAGCCACCTGTGACCCCGGCCAGCTCCTTGCAATCCTGACCCAGGAGTACCTATGCGAAATTTCTATACTAATAGTTTAATGCTTAATTAGGTATACATATTTGAAATTCTTACCTTAAATTAGGATTGTGTGGCAAGGGGCAGAGGAGATACATGAAGTAAGTGAGGCGGCCAGGTGGCTTCTGCCATCGCTGGCTCCAGAGGCTCAATAGGCTCTTTCCTCCTCACTGATCAGCAGTGGCTGCCCCTTCAGTGGCCCCCTTCTCTGGTGGTCACCTCGCACCAGCATCCATTCTGCAGAGAACTCTGACTGACGCCAGTTGGACCACGTGGGCAGCGCTGACACAGCCCGCGTCCAGGGCCTGAGAGCACCCAGTCCCTGTCAGGTGTGGTCAGGGAGGACAGAGGTTTACCAGTGGGGCAGCAGCAGTGTCCCAGGGCAGGGCTGCAGTTCTGAGAGTCCTCCCTGGAGACAGGTGTTTCATACCCAACGACATCAGCTGTTTGCATGCAAATGTTATGCACATCTGTACAACATTCGTATATAGAAATATCTGTACAGAGAAAGCCTAGGAGCTGCTGTGAGTTAGAGACCAGCATGGGCTACAAAGTGAGCTCGAGGCCGGCCTGAGCTGCAGGGCAGGACCCTGTCTGAAAAACACCAAGGAAGACTAGGAGACCCACCAGATACACCGGACTATCAGAATGTACTCTCCGGTGATAGAATTTCAGGGCAGTACTAAGCTGTTTCACTTCGGCTTTATTATGTCTCTGAAATGGCCATGTTTCTTGCAGTCAAACGAAAACCTACTTCTAAAATCTGGACAAAATAATAGTGTTCTTCTAGCACTGCCTGCATAAGAGTGTGTGGCCGCTGACTTTCCCTGGCATTTTAGGCCGCACCTGATGGCCCCTGCTCTGTGCTTTGCAGGTGGCTCTGAAGAAGGAGACTCACGGGATGGATGAAGGATCGTGATGCAATATACCTCCGCCTTACGTCGGGTGCGTGTGTGAGAGAGAGGCTGCGTGCATGTGTGAGTGTGCGAGCGCGTGTGTACATATGCACAGATATATAAATATATATTTTTACACAGGTTGAGCATCCCTGGTCCGCACATCCAAAGTCTAAAATGCTGCAAAACAGCACCCCCCACGTGGAGCTTTGTTTCATGTGCAAAGTCACTCAGAATGCAGTGCGCGCCTGAGACCGCGCCTTGAAAAGCACACGAGCCACAAGCGAGTCCCGCCGCAGGCCTGGGCCTGTCGTTGCTCACGTGCGGATATTCCACAATCTAGGAAAGTCCCAGCTCCAAAATACCGCTCATCCCAGGCGTCTCGGATGAGGGATACTCAATCTGTGAAATATCCTAATGATGTAAAATTTAATATTTATGTTTGAAATTATTTATTGTGTTGTAATATTTTTGTACGTAAAATGATTTTATTGTGACTGCCTTTGCGCTCTTTTGTCCCTTGCAGTCCAGCCACTGCATTTTACGTACCTACATTGTATGTAGTCCTGCGACAAAAGTGATCCTTCATTATCACGGTACACTATTGTTTACTTTTTATCTGTAAATGTTTTACTGTTACTTTTTTAAAATCATATTTGTCTTTTAAAACAACCTAGCCATCATCAAGGTGCTACGAGAGTCATGGAAGGGTCTTGTTGTCATTCCGAGCAGAGTATCATGAGCCACTAAGTAAGCTAGTGAGTTCTCAGATCTTACCAAGGATGAACTGTATTAAGTATCTATTCCATTTCATGGGATCTCTGGGAAAAAAAATGCTGCCGTGGTGCTAACATTGTGTGGATCTAGGTGAGTTCCAGACCCAAGTGTGAGGGCTGTGGATACAAAGGAGGAAGGGAGGACAGCGTCCAGTGGACACGCCCCCGGAGAGTGCCCGCGCTGTGGGTCGCCATGGCCTTTGGACACACTGCTCTGGAAGCTGGACCTTGTCCTCGCCACTTGTGCTCTCAGTGTGCCAGCTCAGCCAGCAGGGTGTGGTCCCCGCAGCCAGGGTCTCTGCCCCTGCATCCTCACAGAGCGGCCTGGGAGCAGGAGGTCCCCTGCAGCTTCGTCAGTAGCAACACTGGGGAGCACAGCACAGCTCAGAAACCCGGCGAAGGAGACCTTCAGGTTCTGAGCCCCTGGGATGGCCTTTTGCTTGAAGGTGCAGCCAATGACAGACCTTCTCTTCAGGCTATGAGCCTAGTACCTGCTAGTTTTCCTGTCCTCACTGGTAGTGTGTAAAGAAACAACCTAGGGCCTTCTGGGCACCCAAGTCTTTCTGTCACCCATGAGCTCACTTTTGGCTGCTTCTGTTCCTCATGCAAGTGCCGAAGTCGTGGGCTTTGTGCCTTCCCAGTGGCCGGAGAGACCCTTGTCTGAGCAGCCCTGTCCACTTCAGAAGACCAAAGAGATGAGGAAAACCTGCCACACTCGCCAACTCCAAGCCCACTCCACAGGCTCCGGGAAAAAGTATACTCAGTATATGAACACATGTTGTTCTCCATTATTAATGCACTGTGAGAACGTATTACGAATAAATACCACGACCACCACCAAATCTTTGTTTCACCTGGTTTCTAGACTCTTGACTCAGAGTAAAACAAGATTGTCTCAGGCTGAGGCAGGAGGGTTGCAAATTCAAGGCCAGCCTGGACAACTTAGCAAGACCCTGTCTCAAAATAAAATCAAAAGAGCTGAGGATGTAGTTCAGTGGTAGAATATTTTCCTGGCACAAATGAACTTGAGTTCAATTCCCAGCACTGCAAAGGAAGAAGGAAAGAAGGGAGGGAGGGTAGGAAAGAGGGAGAAAAGGAAGAAGAGAGAAGGAAAGGGAGGAAGACAGAAAAAGCAAGAAAGGGAGAAAGGTGTCTCAGTGACTCTTCCTCATTGCTGGGACAAAATACCCGGCATCCACAATTAAGGAAGGAAAGGGTTGTTCAGTTCACGGCTTGTGGAGGTTCCAGTCCACAATCAGCTGGCTCCAAGGCAGAGGGCACATGGCAGAGGGCGGCAGCTCATGCTTCGGTAAACCACCGAAGTGAAACGCCAGGAGCGGGCGCAGCAGCCAGCAAGCCTCTGCCCCTCCCTCGCATTGTTCTTGGGCTGCCCACAGGTGTAGCGCTCACACGCATAACCCCAGCATTGGATTATGAGTTAATCACGAATTCTAGAAACGCGCCCCAATGACTGCGGGAGGCTTTCGGGGGACATCTAGATACAAACCATAACAGAAGGAAAAATTAAGTTTTAAAATTAGGTGGAGGGCCAGTGAGATAGCTCAGCAGACTAAAGCACCTGCTTAGGCAAACTTAGGCAGATGCAGGGACCGCAGTTCAATCCCCAGCGCCACATGCTGCACCAGCCCTGCCCCCAGGATGGGCTGAGCCGGCCAATAAATAAATAAATAAATAAATAAATAAATAAATAAAATCAGTAGGTGGAGGATAAATGTGGGTTTCCTTCATTTCCTCTGTGACAGTTGCCATTTGAAAACCAGATAAGGAGGTCCCTAAACGTGGATGTTTTGTCACCCAAATCAGGGATCTCCTGCCCTGCCCCCAGGATGGGCTGAGCCGGTAAATAAATAAATAAATAAATAAATAAATAAATAAATAAAATCAGTAGGTGGAGGATAAATGTGGGTTTCCTTCATTTCCTCTGTGACAGTTGCCATTTGAAAACCAGATAAGGAGGTCCCTAAACGTGGATGTTTTGTCACCCAAATCAGGGATCTCCTGCCATTTGAGGGGCACAAGCTGGCAAGCAAACAGGAGCTGCTCCGAGCGCAGGGCACCCGTGTTTGTCTCTTGTAGCAGCGGCCCCACCCCGTGGGCCCAACGTGTCCAGAGAGGCAGGCTCTCTGGGCCAGTCTAACGGGGCTGCTGTAGCCACCACGGTCGGGCACTTAGGGTCTGGAGGTGGGGACCCCACCAGCCAGGACAGTCAGGGTTCCTTTCTGGGGGCGGGGGCGCTCCTTCTGGCCCAAAGACGGGTCCTTCCCACTGTGTGCTTGGGAGGTGACTGGTGTCTCTCGCTCCTCTCTTTTTCCATATCGGGGGCCAAATGCAGGCCTTGCACATGCTAGGCAAGCATGCTGCCGCTGAGCTCCGTCCCCGGCCCTCTTGTATGAGAACACTGGCCCTGCTGGATGAGGGTCCTCCGCCTAACATGTTCAGGTTCTGCACCTAGTTTTCTTTTCCATTTGTTTGTTTCTGCAGTGCTGGGGATTGAACCCAGGGCCTTCACACAGAGCTGTGTCCCCAGTGCCTTCTTGAGACAGCCTCGCAGGGTCACTGCACTGCCCAGGCTGGTGTTGGGCTGCACTTGCCACCCTCCTGCGTCCGCCTCGAGCAGGGCTGGGACTGCAGGCGGCACCGCCGCGCCTGGCTCTCTTTCTCTATACACCCTATTTCTAAGTAAAGTCATACTAGGAGCTCAGGTCAGCACGGGAATGAGGGGGTGCAATCCAGCCCACTGCAGAGACTGTCAGAAAGAGGCCCCGAGTAGGTGCAGAGGGGTCCCCCCAAGGAGGAAGGGAGGATAAATCCTGGGGATGCTGGTGGCTTCTGCTACAAGGAGCCAGCAAAGCCAGTGGAAACGTCTTGCCCTTCAGAGCTCACGTGGCGGTGGTGACAGAAGAGAGGAAGGCAGCACAAGTGAGACCCCCAGTTCTCCAGCAGTGAAGCGGACGGGCCGCCCTGGCCACCCACCCAAGCACCCCAAAGCACTCCTGGCTGGCTTTTGTCCCCTTTGCGTCCATGCGTGGGAATTTCTTTCTCTTCCAACTGGTGCAGGAGTAAAGGTGGGGCACAGGGAGCCGAGATGTCCCAGAGGGGCAGGGCACCAGCAGCCCCGGTGCAGGGTGTGGGGAGCGTGGGGGAGCAGGCAGACGTGTGAGACATTGTGGGGCAGGGAGCTGGTGTCGCTGGGTCTGACCCAAGTGGCCCAGCAGGTGACGGGGAAGGCCCTGCCCT